CATGTACTTGTGCCGGCAGTGGACCCCAGCCGGCCAGACGCGCATCCAGCGAATGCTGCAGACGCGTCCAGATTCAGCCAACACGTCGGCTACTCCACGACCATTGCTCAGTCGGGTTTTTTCGTATCCGCTTCTTCTACCAACTCGGCAACTCTGAGCTGCTGTGCCTCGCCCTCTTCTGGTTCTTCCCCGACGCGGACTTCGACGGGAACCTCGCAAGCACATGCGCCTTCACTCTTCCAGGGTGAGGCGTCCAGGCGCGTCGCTGGCACCTATTGCTGTCGCGCCGCCTGTTGCCTGGATGCCTCGTCGCGCGCCTTCCCCCCAGGAGCAAGAAAGTGGTCCAGTCTACGTTCTGCACCGCGCGCGGCCCTGGCCGCGACAAGCCTCGCCATCGGCGCGCCGCCCGTTCACCTGCTAAACAGGGTAGCAATGTTGAGTGCCATTCACAGGCGGTCGGGGCAGCGCTGTGCCATTCACTTGACAGCGATATCTGGTGTCCCACGCCCTCGTGCATGCGGTGCGCCCCGGCGCTCGGACGCACCTTGCTCTGCCGCTGCAGCTTCGGACAGAGTGGTGTGCGCGTTTGTCTTTTCAGTGGCAGCTGTCCGATCGGTCAGGACTCGCTGGTAGGGGGCGCGCCTGCGCATTGCCAGTGCGCGGCAGCGCAGGCGTCGCTGTCGCGCTGCCTATGCGCGCCCATGTGCTGTTCAGCGCGTCCGGGGTATTTCCCATGGCCAGTGATGCAGCTGCGCAAGTACGTTGTGCTATGCCTTGGCGCTCCCAGGCGTCGTGCTACGCGCGCTGGGGCATGGCCATTGCCCAGTGGTGCCAGCGCGCGCGACGTGCAGCGTTGCGCGCACCTACGCGCCTTGCAGCGCGCGCAGGGCATCGGCGCACTCGGCTGTGCGCTGGAGCGCGCGCGAGGGTTTCGGCATGCCGCGCTTGTGCCCAACGGCGCGCTGTGCTGCGCACGCTGGGGCGCCTGTGCGCGGGTTTGCGTGCTGGCGCGCCGAGCGCACCTGCATATGGCCGACCGAGATCGTTTCCAACCGCTTCTCAGAGCGCCTGCTGGCGCCGATGTTGGTTCTCCCAACCGCACTCAGGCTACAATCGGCTATGTCACGTGGGACGCAGCTCGCAGGGAGACCTGGGGTGGGCCAGGTCAGCCAGCGTGCGATATCAGCCCGTGCGCACGTTCGCCAGATTTGGAATTTTTGTATCTCTACCTCGATCCACCTACTCGGTGATATCGCCGCCTCAGTGAACAGGAACAGTTAATTCGCGTGCCAGCCGATGCGGGCAATGCCACCTCACTGCGCGCCGCCTCCCGCGTGTGCATTCGTCATTCGGCTTACTCTACCGTAGTCAATCTGCTGCGGGTCTGGCGCTTGATTCGTCCAGCGCGCTGTCGCCTGCTGGGCCGCCGCCCAGCCCGTGGAGTGCCTCCATTGCGGTCTCGCCGGCCGATTCGATGGCATCGGGCACCCTGTCGGTCCGCGTCGCTCGCGGTCTGCGCCTGCAGTGGAGTCGGCTCCCTGCGATCCGAGGGGTCGAGCTCCACAGAGCTTTCCGCTTTCTTTCCGACGGACAGCGTCGTCGCTTGCAGGGTCGCCAAGTCCGCGCGTGGCCGAGCGTGACGCGCTCGCCCTGTGGACTGCGCGCGTTGGTCTGCGACCGAAGAATATAATGTGATCTTCGCCAAAATGTTTCGCGGCGCGCGCGTTCAGGTTTGCTAGGTGGCGCGCGGAGTAATTTGTCACGTCGATCCTTTGTCTGGGCTCGTGTTGGGTATGCTTGATGACTATCCCGGTCGCTTCGTCTTCGACCTGCGTGTTCGTCTCTGGGTTCAGATCCATCTTGTTCTACGCGATCTTCTCAGGTTCATGCTTCCTCTCTGTCGTCTCTGTCAGCGTGCAGCGCGTCGTGTTCTGCCGGGCCTTCTCCTCCAGCTTCTTCTCCAGCTTCTCTGTTCTTGGAGCGTGGCCTTTATGCTGCGCCCCGGGTCAGCGCGCGGGCGCGTGGAGGGGGGCCGCGCTCCAGGCCGCGGCGACCTAGGACGGGGCCGGCGCGCGCGTTTGCGCGCGGCTCTGCCTGGCCAGGGGCGCGCGCGCTCGCCGGCGCGTCTGCGCCCGCGGCCGCGCGCCGCGCGCAGCGCGAGTGCCCGCCCGAGGGTTCGTTGCTCACTCAGTTTCCGCTTCCGCTTCGCCGAGGGCCGCGGAGCAGCGGCCGCTGCTGGGCGGGCTAGAGGGCGAGAAGGGCCCAGAGAGTCGGTGGCCGCAGGAGACGCGACGAGGAGGACGACGCCAGCCATGGGACTAGGAGAACAGGCAGGAGGACGAGGAGGGCGCGCGAAGGCAACCGCAGTGCGAAGGAAGAGCGAGGCTGTGGCACCGCCCGGTCTCCAGATCCGCCCACTTCGGCCTCTGCTCAGCCTTTTTCATCCGCCCCCTCCATCCTGATGCCTCCCGCGGAGCAGCTGCTGGCCGGGTGCCCGCTTTGCTGCGACCGGCGCCCGCCGGCAGCAGTGGCCCCTACTTGTGGGCGCCGAGCTCGACAGGCGCTACGTGGCGCTGCTGCCTTGACCTCCAGTCGAGAGCAGCGCGCTGGCCGCTGCGCAGCATCCACTATCCGCAGGTGTCAGTGCGATTCCAGGTGGGCACTGACGCGCGCGGCGGCTGAGGTCGCCCCCCATGCCAAAGACCGCAGGAGCGCGCGTCTGTGGCCTACTTGTCCACGCGCAGACCACGCCCCTGACGCGGCAAAGCCCGCGCTGCCGCGGCATTGGTGCGCTCGCGTCCATTGCGACAGCGTGCCCAGGGTCGACGGCCAGCGGAAGGCAGCAGCAGCGCATTGCGCCCCCTGCCACTTCGCTCGCTACGCTGCGATCGTAGCTTGGGCAGGGGTGCGTCAGCCCTGCCAGCGTGGCTGTCGTTCGAGTCGTTCCCGCGAACAGCAGCGAGGAGGGCGTCGCTGTCTCGCCATCGGCGCCGTCGGCGCGTCGTAGTCAACAAGGCCGCCCAGCGGGGCCATCTTGGCGCGCGCGTCTGGCAAGCCGCGCCAGCGCGCAGCAGCCGCTATTCGCCGTGGAAGCGCGCGCTTGCATCAGTGCCGTCAATGGCGCGTCGCGCCGCGCGCAGTGCGACTCGCGTCGGTTGACGTCCTTAGCGGCGCCGCAGCTAACGCGCCGATGGTGTTGTGTGCGCGCCGCAGTCGTGCAGTCCATTCATCCTCGCGCTTGCAGGAAGAGCGGGGTGCGTCTGTTATGCGAGTGCGCGTGCGCTGACGCAACGGCCTGTTCTTGCTAGAAGTAGCGTAACCCCCCCTCCTTCCCATCGGGCAGGGGGCGAGGGGGCGGCGGCCCAGATAGGTCGGATAGGTCGGCGCCAGGGTAACCGCGCGCATCGTCAACGCGACGGCGGTCGTGCTTTCACCTTTGACCGACCCCTGGAGAGAAGGTGGACTTGTCGGATTATTGCCCGAGTCCGCCCAGAGCAACATTTCGTTCGCCCGCGCCGGCCAGCGGTTCCGACGCCGACCGCGTGGCGATCGAAGCAAGGGACCGCCGGGATGATCGTGCTTCGGCCTGCAGCGCGCCTCAGATGCTGGTCGTGGAGCGCGGATCGCCTGGCAAAGCGCCGCCGCGAGTCAGCGGATATTTGGCGACGGCGTGCGAAACGGTGGCTGTCGCTGAGCAGTTTGATTCCTTTCTCGCGCGTCGGACATTTATTGCGTGCTGGTGCGGGGCTTCTGTGTGTCGTGCTGGAACGAGAATTCTACCGCGTCGTTGCGCGGTTTTCCGCCGCGCGCGGGACGTTGCCGACCTGTTTCGCCCGAGTCTGATGGTTCAGCAAGTGGAGCGGGGCAGCGCTATTCACGTGGGGAGGAAATTCTGGCAATTCTGCACATTTTGTTAAGCAGTGGAACAACGGCGCATGGTGGTCCAACAACGAATGTGGGCAATTCCGCGACCTGGGCAGTTTTGGAACATCCGCGAGAGCTCATACTTAGGCGCTGTTACGTATGAAGCAAGTGCAGTTTCTGTTGTGGTCTGAAGTGCCGGGTTACGAGCTCATGTATGACGATAGTTTTCCATCGGTGTGCTATCTAGTCGTCCTCGCCGAACACCCAGTGTGCACCTTGGCCCTTCGCGCGCGCGTTCATCCGGCTGCCGGCGGCCTGCTGCCTGCGCTGCGTGCTTCGCGCCATCTCTGAGTGCGGTCCATTGCGGGCTCGCGGGGCCAACATTTGGAGTGATCAGCTGTGCCTGCGTCGGCGCGCCAGTCGTTCAGGGGCTGCGTGAGTCAGGCCAGGTCCAGGGCGCGTGGCGGGTTTCTGGCGCGCCCCGCCTGGCGGTTCCACCGCGGATGGGCCCGTGCCGTCGCTGGGCGCGGGCCCTTGGTGCGTTCTGCCTGGGGGCCGCTGACACGCTATCGCGTGGTTTGTGCTTCCGATCGGCGCAGGCCTTTGGCGGGCATTGTATGGGGACTGCTACTGGCGACCGCGCGACGACAGGACTGGTGTTGCCACTCAGCGCAGACTACTCCAAAACAGGGCATACGTGCGTGCAATCATGCGGCGCGGCCCCAGCAAAGGCAGCCAAATCTGGACAGGGGGACTACACCTCATTGCGGATGGCCTTGTGCAACCGATGTGCTGCGGAGGGTACTCGCTTCTGCCCAGTAGCCCCGAGTCGAATCGGAGGGGTCCGCTGCCGTCTGGCTCACAGCGGGCCCGCGTTTTTGTATAGTGTTGAGAGGGATACAGCCACAGCTCTGCCATCTCTCATGTTCAATTTGCCGCCATGTCCCTTACCTTTCACCATTGCCACCCGCAATTCCAGTTCCTCCTCCTCCTCCTTAGCCTCTTTCTCCTCCTCCTCCTCCTCTTCCTTCTCCCCCTCCATCTCCCCCCTTCTTGTGGGGGAGCGGGGGACTGCGAGGGGGGATGCGAGGGCATGGCTCAGTTTGCCCTTGGCTGCTCCAGTTCGGTGCTCTGAGGACCTCAGCGTGGAGATGTGCCGCAAGGTGCGGACCGCGAATAGCCAGGAGATCGCCAACAGCGCCTGGGCGTTCGGGACCGCCAGCTACAAGGACGGGCCCGATCCTTCGTGGGGAGGCGAGCGTCCACTGGGAGGGGAGGAGGCTCAGAGGAGGAGCAGGTACCGATACCGCTACCCGTCCTTCGTCGCCACGGAGGGATTCACTTCGAAATCCTAGTCTTAGGAGAGGAGGCTATCGAGCTGTTTCAGACACGTTTTTCGAGACCTTCGCGGGGACCTGCTTTTAGGACTCTCGTTGCCACGACTGGGTTGGCCTCGGAAGCCCAGTCAGAACGCGCTCTGGGACAGGTCATGGGGCTGGAGGCGAATCGAGTGCTACCCTGTTTGAAGAATGGCAGCGCTTCTTCTCCTCCCAGCAAGTTTCCATTTCCGACTTCAAGCCGAGAAGGATGATCAGGAGGAGGAGGACGAGGAGGATGAGGAGGCGGAGGAGGAGGAGGAGGGATGGTGATGAAGTTGATGGTGCTACTGAGGATGACGCTAGTGATGATGGCGGCGATGTTGACCATGACGATGACGATCACAACGGCAGCACTGCTGCTGATGATCATCATGATGATAATGACCATGATGATGATGATGATGACGAATTCGTGCTGCTGCTGCTGCCAATGATGATGATGATGCTGCTGATGATGATGGTGGCAATGGTGATGGTGATGCTGCTGTTGCTGCTGATGATGATGATCATGATGATGATGATGATATGATGATGATGCCGATAATGAGGATGATGATGAGGATGATGGTGATGATGAAGAGGATGGCAGTGCTGCTACTGTGGATGTTACTACTGTTGATGATGAGGATTCTAATGTGATTAACAATGTGGCAGTCACTCTGCGGATGATTCATATGACGAGGGCGAGCATTATCGGTATTTCCAATCACGACGATAATGATAATGATGATGATGATGATGATGATGATGATGATGATGATGATGATGATGATGCTGATGAGTGGTTATGATGTTAATGACGATGCTGACGCCGATGACGATGACGATGCTGCTGCTGATGATGATGATGATGATGATTATGATGTTGACGCTTGGACTTAAGAGTTCGACGAGGATTTGGATGACGATGACTGCGACTATGGCGATGATGCTGCTGCTGATGATGCTGCTGATGATGCTGCTGATGGTGATGCGACGATGGTGGTGATGCTGATGTTGACGACACCGACGACAAACACAATGCTTGTGTTTATGATGACGATAATGGGGATGGCGATGGATTCGCTCACGACGACAATGAGGCAACGACGATGACGATGGAGGTAGTGATGAGGGTGATGATGATCGGGATGATGACGGGGATGATGGTTGGGATGATGATGGTGATGCTGATGACAACGATGACGGCCACGACAACGACGACAATGGCGATGACGATAATGCTGATGATGGTGCTGAAGCTGATGATGATGCTGGTGATGATAATGATGATGATGATGATGATGATGATGATGATGATGATGATGATGAATCTGCTGCTGATGATGATGATGCTGATGATGATAATGACGATGGTGGTCAGGATGCTGATGATGGTAATGGTGACGCTGCTGCTTATGACGATGATATGAACATGGGCAGGAGGATGAGGATGATGGTAATGATGACAATGCTGATGACGACGACGATGATGATCATTGTGATGATGCTGATGATGATGATTATGATGGTGGTGGTGTTGATGATGAGGTCGTTGCTGCTGCTGATGATGCTGATGCTGATGCTGATACTCATGCTGATGCCCATGGTGATGCTGATGCCGCTGATGATGCTGATGCTGATTATGTTGATGATGATGCTGATTCATATTGTGATGATGATGATGATGATGATGATGATGATGATGATGATGCTAGTAATGCTGCTGATACTGATGATGATGCTGATGATGCTGATGATGCAGATGATAATGATCATAGTGATGACGATGATGCTGATGATGACAATGATGATGATGATGATGATGATGATGATGATGACGGGTGATGGTGATGATGATGCTGATGATGATGTTGATGATGTTGATGATGTCGATGATGATGATGATGATGATGATGATGATGATGATGATGATGATGATGATGATGATGGTTTTGGTGGTGGTGGTGGTGACGATGATGATGCTGATGATGATGCTGATGATGACGATGATGCTGCTGCTGCTGACCACGATGATGATGATGATGATGATGATGATGATGATGATGATGATGATGATGATGATGATGATGATGATGATGGTGATGGTGATGGTGATGGTGAGGATGAGGATGATGAGGAGGATGATGATAATGATGATGATGATGATGATGATGATGATGATGATGATGATGATGATGATGATGATGATGGTGGTGGTGGTGGTGGTGGTGGTGGTGATGATGATGATGATGATGATGATGATGATGATGGGAGGAGAACGAACAGAGGTAGGAGGAGGAGGAGGAGGAGGAGGAGGAGGAGGAGGAGGAGGAGGAGGAGGAGGAGCAGGAGGAGGAGGAGGAGGAGCAGGAGGAGGAGAGGAGCTGGAGGAGGTACAGGAGGATGAACAGGATGAGGAAGAGGATAATTAGGATGAGAAGGAAAAGGAGGAGGAGGAGGAGGAGGAGGAGGAGGAGGAGGAGGACCAGTGTAAGCCAAAGAATCATCAACGATGTTGGAATCAACCCTCCCTCCAAGCTCCCTCTTCGTAGGCTCCTGCAACGGTTCATTCTCATTAAGGGGAGTGCCTCGTTGGAGGACACCCTTGAAGACCCCGAAGCATGCCATCACATTGTTCTCGGGATTTCAATGCCATAGATCAACCTGACTGCTGCGTCTTGACGATCCGGAATCGTGTCAGAACGCCATTTTTGGGACTTCAACTCTGCGAGTCAACATGATTGTTGCACCCGCATTTTTTGTGACTTCAACTCCGCAAATCAACAAAACATCAACTTCAACATCAAAATGCAATTTCTGGTACGTTGACCATGGGAATCTGTGAAACTTCTACAATGATCCAAAACAAAAACGAATGTACGCGGCGCTAAAGCAAGAGCCACATTTTGGAATCCACCCGCCCTCAATCCGTGAAGCTCCTGCAAATGTTGAATACGAAAGTGCGCGGCGCTCAGGCGAGAGCCACATTTTGAAAACCACCGGTTCTCAATCCGTGAAGCTCTTGCAAAATTTAATGATCTTGGCGAAGGACCCAACCATGCGCAGTTGTGAAGACCGCAATTATGATCATCTTTGCCTGCATTCCCTATGGTGCCACGAACCGTGCGAGGGGCGTGCCGAAATGCGCTGCGGGGCACACACCGCGAGCGAATGACGATAGGTCTGTGTGCGAGAGACTGAGCGCGAGTGAGTCTAATTGTGAATGAGTCTGCGTGCGAATCAGTTTACGTGCATAAGCGTCGACGCCCATGTCGGCACGCTCGTCCCGAGGATCGCTCCCGCTTCCTTCCCGTTCTTTTTCTTTCGCTTTGCTCGTGCACGCCCATGTCCGAGGCTGCGGGCGCGGCGCCGCACGGAGTCCCCGCGACGCACGCCGGTCGCCCCGAAGGGGTCCCGGCGACGCGCACGGGTCGTCTGGTGCGCGGAGCAGAGAGAGAGCGAGCTGGCTGGCTGATAGCGGGCGAGGCTGTGGCTGCTGGGCAGAGAGGCGACGGGGGCGAGCGAGGCTCTGGGCAGAGCGCAGCGCGGAATTCCCGCGACGCGCGCTGGTCGGCCCGAGAGGGTCGCAGCGACGCGCGCGGCTTGCCCGCGGCGCGAAGCCAAACAGTCAGACCGTCGAGAGACGGCGAGGCTCGGGCGGGTCGCTTTTCAAGTCAAGCCTCGCAGATAAACTCGGTGAAGCCCGGCACCCTGGCGAGGGCCGTCGCCTCCCTCCTGTACCGCTTCGTGCGCGTGGCAAACTGCTCCAGTTGCTTCCGCAATTCCTCCAGCGGCCCTGCCAGGAAGAGCTCGATGCGCGGCGCCCGCATGAGCAGGAGGTCCTCGTGGCGTGTGGCGCGCGAAAGCAGCGCGTGGCGCTCCAGCCACCAGTCGTCGTCTTCCTTCTTGCCGTTCCCCACCTCGTGGCGGCCGCAGTCCAGGATTACGCCTGGGCGACGTCGGCCGAAGGAGCAGCGCGCCGGACAGCCGACGGCCCAGGGCGAGAGTCCACGAGACCGAGAGAAGGTCTCCCAAACGTGTGAGGGGCCACGAAGCGTTTGAGGGGTGTGCCAAAATAGGGCGGCGCCGCCATGCGGGCTGCGCCGCTGGGACCTTTGATGGAGCTCCATGGGGCCACAACACGTGTGAGGGGTGTGCCAAAATGGGGCGGCGCCGCCATGCGGGCTGCGCCATAGGGACCCTAGATGGGGCTTCCTATGGGGCCACAGCACGTGTGAGGGGTGTGCCAATATGGGGCGGCGCCGCCATGCGCGCGCCACTGGGGCTTTAGATGGAGCTCCCTATGGGGCCACGAAGCGTGTGAGGGGTGTGCCACAATGGAACGGCGCCGCCATGCGGGCTGCGCCATAGGGACCCTGGATGGAGCTTCCTATGGGACCACGAAGCGTGTGAGGGGTATACCACAATGGGGCGGCGCCGCCATGCGGGCTGCGCCGCTGGGGCCTGAGGTGGAGCTCTCTATGGGGCCGCGAAGCGTGTGAGGGGTGTGCCAAAATAGGGCGGCGCCGCCATGCGGGCTGCGCCACTGGGACTTTAGGTGGAACCCCGTACGGGGCCACGAAGCGTGTGAGGGGTGTGCCGAAACAAAAACATGCGGAGAGCAAAGGCAAGGAGGGGAAGGAGGGAGGAGGAGGATGAGGAAGAGGAGGGGGATGATGAGGAGGAGGAGGAAGAGGAGGAGGAGGAGGAGGAGGAGGAGGAGGAGGGGGAGGAGGAGGAGGAGGAGGAGGAGGAGGAAGGAGGAAATATGAAAACGCGGGGCACCGTCTCTTCAAAACGAGGACCCAACACCACATGATGGTTGGGAAAGTACGAAAATGCGCGGCGCTCAAGCGAGAGCCACATTTTGCAAGGCACCCGCCCTCAATCCGTGAAGCCCTTGCTAATGTTTACTACGAATGTGCGCGGCTCTAAGGCGACAGCCGCATTTTGAAAACCACCCGCCCTCAAGCCGTGAAGCTATTGCAAATTCTTAATACGAAGGTGCGCGGCGCTAAGGCGAAAACCACATTTTGCAAACCAGCCGCCCTCCATCTTTGAAACTGATGCCACCTTCTAAGTTTCGAATCAGAAATGATAACGAAGTCTCAGGCGAAACGCCCGGCCCGCCCTGAAAAATGGCCTTGGGGTGCGACAGGGAGGAGTTACTTATAAGTAGACGGAATGGAGGGGGAGGAGGAGGAGGAGGAGGAGGAGGAGGAGGAGGACGAGGAGAAGGAGGAGGAGGAGGAGGAGGAGGAGGAGGAGGAGGAGGAGGAGGGAGGAGAAAGGAGGAGGAGGAGGAGGAGGAGGAGGAGGAGGAGAGGAGGAGGAGGAGGAGGAGGAGGAGGAGGAGGAGGAGGAGGAGGAGGAGGAGGAGGAGGAGGAGGGAAGAGGAGGAGGAGGAGGAGGAGGAGAGGAGGAGGGAGGAGGAGGAGGAGGAGGAGGAGGAGGAGGAGGAGGAGGAGGAGGATGAGGAGGAGGACAAGGGGTTCGGGGCGAAGCGGGGGGAGGGGGAAAACAGGAGGAAGAGGAGAGTGGAGGCGGCAATTGGGGATGCTGAGCTGTGCTGGTCGGCAGAGCTGCACGCAGCTTTCCCTATGGGGGCCTCTGGGCACAGAAGCTGCTGCTGGTGGCCCCCTCGTCCCTGTTCCTCCTTGTCCCTCTCAGACAGGTTCTCCGCACTAGGCACCACGACACTGCGGCTGTACATCACCCCCCGCCTCGGGACACGAGCTTGGCGCCCCCACTCGCCCAACACCGCCCCCTGCGGATTCTGATGGTGGCGACCTATCCGTATACTAAATGAGACAGCCGTGGCACTCCTCCCTGGCTGGCGCTGAGCCCGGTGGAGTCCCCTTCCCCTCATTGGGGAAGTCAGTAGATCTTCGCGGAGGGCCAACGGTTCATACAGCGCCTCGCGGGACAGAGGGAGGAGGAGGGCGCAGGGGGGCAGGACGTCGCCATGAGGGAAAGGGGTCCTGAGGGAAGCGGGCCCTGGACTGGGTCTTGCTCTAGTGCCAGTTCTCGGGCGGTCCCGGGGCCCGCGGAGGGCCCCACGGGCCCGAAGACAGCGGGAGACCTCTAGGACCCCTTGGCTCCAGGACCCGCGTCCTTCATGCTGAAAGAGGGGCGGCGGGGGTCGGAGGCTGTCCCGTGCCCGGCAGGACAGCCAGCTCATGCAGGCGCTCGGGGACGCGGGCGTGAGCCGCCTGGAGGAGTGCCTTCGGATGCCCGTTTCCTTGGGCCACTTGGGCTTCTGTGGTCGAGCACCTCGACGGATCCGTCTTCCTCTTCGTCGTCTCCCCTCTCCCTCCTCCTCTCGCTCTCCTCCCTCGTCTCCTCCCTTCTCTCCCTTCCCTTCCCTCTTGCTCTCCCCCTCTCGCGCCCCCTTGTGGTGACGGCCCCTGGTTGAGGTACAAGCCGCAGGAGATCTCGAACACGCTCTGGGGCTTCGCGACAGCAGGCGGTCCTTGCGGCTGCGACGTCAAAGATGGAGGATGCGTGAAGATGAAGGGAGGGAGGGAGGAAAGGAGGAGGGATGAGGGGTGAGGGAGGAGGAGGAGGAGCAGGAGGAGGAGGATGAGGAGGAGGAGGAGTAGGCGGAGGAGTTGGAGGGAGATGATGATGCTGATGCTGATGATGATGCTGATGACGCTGATTATGATGATGATGATCAGATGGTGGTGGCTGTGATGATGATGATGATGATGATGATGATGCTGATGATGATGATGGTGATGATGATGAGGATGATGATGATGATGATGGTGGTGATGGTGATGATGATGGTGATGATGATGATGATGATGATGATGATGATGAAGATGACGAAGAAGACGATGCTGGTGATGAGGATGATGATGAGGAGGAGGACCAGTGTAAACCCACAGCTCATCAACGATATTGGGATACACCCTCCAAGCTCCCTCTTCATAGGCCCCATTCAAGGGTTCACTTCGACTGAGGGAAGTGCCCCATTGGGAGACAATTGTGTGAAAACCCTGAACTGAGCCAAAACACCATTTTCTGGACTTCAACGCCACGAGTCAACCTGACTGTTGCGCCTTGACGATCTTGACTCGTGCTGGAGCACCATTCCTGGAAATTCAACACCGTGAATCAACGTAACTGTTGCGCCCTGACAAGACTGAGCTGCTCGAAAACGCAACTTCTTGAAGGTAACTCATGAGAACCAGCGAAACTGCGGCACATTGTTGATACGAATTTGCGCGGCGCTGAGGCGAGAGCCACATTTTGAAGAGGAAGTGCCCTCCATGTGTGAAACTCTTGCACATTTGTGAAACGAATGTGAGCGGCGCTGAGGCGAGAGCTACATTTTGAAAAGGAGCCGCCCTACATCTGTGAAGCTCTTGCAACTTTTTAAGATGAATGTGCGCGGCGCGAAGGCGGGAACCACACTTCCATCAATACGTGAAGCTTTTGCATTTTTAACATTGTTCTGCGTTGCGCTAAGGCGAGAGCCACATATTGAAACCGACCCGCCTTCAATCCGTGAATCTCCTGCAATTTTTAATTCGAATCTGCGCGGCGCTCATGCGAGAGCCGCATGTTGAAACGACCCGCCCTCAATTCGTGAACCTCTTGCAAGTTTTTAAGACGAGTGTATGCGGCGCTGAGGCGAGAGCCACATTTTGGAAGCGACCCGCCCTCAGTATGTGAAACGGTTGCCAGTTTCTAAGTTTCAGGCTCATAAATGGTCAGGAAGTCTCAGGCGCAACGCCCAGCCCGACTTTCCGACTGGCCTCGGGGTGCGACAGGGAGGACTTTTTATAAGGAACAGCAGGAGGAGGAGACCGAGGAGGAGGAGGGGGATGAGAATGAGGATGAGGATGATGATGAGGAGGAGTAGGATGATGAGAAGGAGACGGAGGAGGAGCAGGAGCAGGAGCAGGAGCATGAGCAGGAGGAGGAGGATGGACGAGGATGAGGATGAGGATGAGAAGGATGAGGATGAGGATGAGGATGAGGATGAGGATGATGATGATGATGATGATGATGATGATGATGATGATGATGATGATGCTGCTGCTGCTGCTGATGATGATGATGATTCTGATGCTGATGATGATGACACTGATGATGATGATGATGATGATGCTGATGATGATGATTATGATGATCATTATGAGGCGGAGGAGGAGGAGGAGGATCGGGCGGAGGAGGAGGAGGAGCAGGAGGAGGAGGACAAGGAGGGATGATGAGAAGGAAAGAAGAGGAGCAAAAAGGAAGCAGAGGATGAGGAGGATGAGGATGAGGATGAGGATGAGGTGAGGATGATGATGAGGTGAGGATGATGATGATGATGATGATGATGATGCTGATGCTGATGCTGATGCTGATGCTGCTGATGATGATGATGATGATGATGATGATGATGATGATGATGATGATGATGATGATGATGATGATGATGATGATGATGATGATGATGATGATGATGATGATGATGATGATGATGATGATGTGATGATGATGATTAATAAT